TCTTACAAATTTCAAATATTTTTTTTTTTAGAATTTCAGTAGAAATTTTAATACAATTTTAAAGGAGATTTCATGGTTGTATATTTTTGAAATGTAAATCAGGTACAGTTATTGCAGCAAGAAAAAAATACCTCAATACCATACAGTTACAATTTGTTTCAGAAATCAATAATAGCTATAGTATCATGTAATTTATAAACTGATTAACCTACATAAAGGATGATATATATGTAAGTACATACATGTGGCAATCATTTAAAACATTGCAGAAATAGGTAACTGAATTTTTCATAGAATCTCATATTTCTAAAGACAGTGTTTCTTTTCCTAAAATAACTTGCACATACTTTGCTGTACATCTTTATATATGTATGGAATACATGTTTGCATTCCAAATGAAGTCTTATAAGAGGGCATGTAAAAGAATCTATACATAAAGTTCTAGTTGAAATTTAAAATATAGTTTGTTATGTATAATAATGGTAAAATATATTTTACTTGTCTGCTCTTAAAAAATAACTTTGATCTTTTTTATCTAATAAGATCTTGTCTGACATGCTTGTGGTAAATAACTGAGTAACATTATACAATTCGGTAAACAGTTTGTTGAAATTGATAAATTATATGCAATTAAATGCAGGTACTTTTTTGAATCGCTTATTTTGTATTTACCTAATTAGAACAATCTTTTTTCATAAGAAAAAAGGCTGTGAACATTTCCCTCTTGTTGAGCAGAATGTGTTCTTCTTTCAAATTTCAAGTCTCCACTGTACATCATTGACCGTAAAGCAGAGGTAGATCTAGCTCCAATATCTTGGCATCCATGTTTAATGCCACATTGTAAATAAGGCAAGAATTTTAAGACAGTTCCTTTATCTATTATTGAACCACTAACCCCCTGAGCTACTTTCAGTTTATCCATTTCATTATGGAAATATCTATCCATCGCAGAACCATGTGCATCTTTTCTATTCATGGCTTCCAAAGAACCCATACCTCTGTATTTTTTAAGGCGTACACCATCACTAAAAAAATATTCACCTGGTGCCTCTGAGGTTCCAGCCAACAAAGATCCCATCATAACTGTACTAGCACCCAAACTTAGACCTTTAATAATATGACCAATGGATTGAATTCCTCCATCAGCTATAACAGGTACACCAAATTTCCTTGCATATTCTGAAACTTTATATACAGCAGTTGCTTGAGGTCTCCCAACAGCCATAACTTCCTGAGTGATGCAAATAGAACCAGACCCCATTCCAACGCGCAGAGCATCAGCTCCAGCCTCTATGAGATTTTTAGCTTGTAAAGTAGTTACAACATTTCCTGCAATTACTTGTAATTCCGGGTATTCTGACTTAATGTACTTAATCATATCGATTTGATATTTAGAGTTGCCCTGAGAAGAATCTAGAACAATCACATCAACACCTGCTGCAACAAGAAGCATCAGTCTATGCCTATCTGTATTACGGGTACCAATAGCAGCACCGACTAGCAACTGTTTATTCTCATCTTTGCTAGCATTCGGGTAACTACGATTTTTTTTCAAATCTGTTCTTGCCATTAGAGATACTAGTTCTCCCTTCTCATTAACGATCGGAAGCTTTCCCTTCTTGGATTTTTCAAGAATTACATTTGCCTCTTGCAGCGTCACTCCAGCAGTTGCTGTGATCAAATTTTCTAATTTTGTCATGATTGTTTCCAACTTGGTCAATTGTTGATTTGGCGAACTCTCCAAAAAGTCAATGTCTCTAGATGTAACAATACCCAATAATTTTCCCCCGACTTTTCCTGTGTCTGTGATAGGTACACCACAGAAACCATGCTCAGATTTTACATTTAAAATGTCACTGACCGTATGATTAGGTGACAAGACAACCGGGTCTCTAATGAATCCATGTTTATACTTTTTCACCTGGAAGCATAGTGAAAAGATATCTGTAATACAATATTAATGTTACAAAACCTTAAACAGGAAATGTACCGAAGAAAAAGCACAAACGAGATTAAAACGAACGATCCAATTACCTAATAGATCTTTTTTTTTTCACGGAAGAAGATTTTCGCGATAGAAATTTGTATACTCGTAAACAAATTGTCATGTTACGCTGTACGCGTTAAATAAATAATTATTGTGCGACCGTGTTATTATTCAAACGAACAAGAGCGCAGGAAAGCACAAGGTGGGATGAAATCTATATCCGCACATGAATACGAAATGAGAAAGCGATAGACATAGCTGTAATACGTTTATCGGTCGTTGCCGAGTATTGCGCGGCTGTTACCGAAGGAACGGAAACAATTTGAATTGAAAACAGCTGTACCTTGTGTACTTCGTTGGCCTGTTCCTCGGGTGTACAGTTATGATGTATTATACCGATTCCTCCGCAAAGAGCCATAGCAATAGCCATGTCGGATTCTGTAACTGTGTCCATGGGAGATGAGACGAGCGGAGTCTTGAGGACGATCCTTTTCGTCAACGGCGATATCAAGTCAACTTCGTCGGCTGGAAAGTCAATGTACCCCGGCAAAATAATGAAGTCGTTGTACGTGAGACCATCCCCGTTTGCAAATAATTGCGCTGCCGAAAGTC